AAAAAAAAAAAAAAAAAAAAATGAAACGAGGACCAGAAATTTCCATTTCTCTGGTAAAGTACATACCCCCCCCATAAAATTTCTGTTGTGCAAAATCTCAAGAATTTTTACTGTTGACAAGTTAATAAGAACTTTTAAGAACATGGTTGGGGCAGACAAAATACTGCTATCAGCCAAGACCAGCTGCCGGCACCACCTGTAACTCCATTTTCTGAGTGCCAGGGCCTTTGCTCAACATTTTGGAGGGCACAGAACAAACCAGGCACCAGCCTGCTCCTGCAGGCTCAAGGACCTCATCCAATAAACAAAGAAGGGCTGGGATCAGAGCCTGACAGAGGGGACTGCAGGTGGAGGGAGGCCCTGGAGTGGACTCTGTGGGATAAGTGGGAATGCTTCCTGCAAATAAAGAGGGGACAAAATCATTCAGGATAAAGGAAGAACAGCTTTGAACTTCCGGAAATGGCAGGTGTTTTTGTGGAGCTAGTGTGCACTCAGGGCACAAAGGGCTTAGAAGGGAGATTGGGACTCATCTCTGACCCCAGATTGCAGAGAGCCACACGGGCCTGCAGTCACCTGGACAATGCCTCACAGTTCTGGGCGTCAGTCCTCAAGACTCGCACTGTGGGGAGCGGGAAGGTGGATGTGAACCGAAGATGTGAGCCAGAACCCCGGGCTTGGACCACCTCTGCCATCCGTAACACTGGATACCTTCACTCAGGATGCAGGTCCCAGCAAGCAATGACTGATTATGAACCCGAGGCTGGGGATTCAGAGAGAAATAATCAGTTTCCCCTGCTTCTAGGGAGATCTCTCTCTGGTGGCTGTGACCAGAGGGAGTTTGCACTGCTCTATGCTGCTTTACTTAGAAGAAGACTGCTAAATAGCTGGGTGTCTCTTAGTAACTTTTCTTGTTGCTGAGACAAAATACTCAACAACCAAAGTTGAAGGAGGAAAGGTTTATTTTGATTTGTGATTTGTAGAGGTTTTAGTTTAAAGTTGGCAGGCTCCAAGGTTTTGGGTTAAAGTCGGCATGGCAGAAGGGCATCACAGAGAATGGCAGGCAGAAGACAGCAAAACTAACAGACAGCAAGCTCCAATGCTGACCCTCTTTCCGTCCCTTACATCCTATCCAGGCTTCCCGCCCTGAGGGTGGGTAGCACTCACACCCAGTGTGGGGCACCCTTACTCCTAACCAGAACCATGCCAAACCAATCAGTGGACTAATTTAGAAATCACTCGCCCTTGGTCCTAGCATCACACACTCTAGATCCAGCCACCTCGGAAAAGCCCCCCTTATTACTGCATGAGGTTTGGAGGGACATCTAGATACAAGCTAGAAAGCTGGGAGTAGGGTGTTATAGAGGAGGGGACTTTTGAACTGTGTTTACAGATTGGACAGGAGTTTCCCTGGGAGGCACAGTGGAATCAGTAGAAATCATAGAGGGCAAGAACGTTCATTCAATCACCAGGTGAACATTTCTTTAGTCCCTGTGGGCCAGAGGCTGTGCCACCAATGGAGGACTGACATAAGGCAGACATCCTCCACCTCACAAAGTCATTGCTATTTCCTTCCTCCTCGGTGGCTTCCATTTGACTGACATGCAGTTATCCCTGAGTATCCATGGGGATGAGTTCCAGGAGCCCCCGTGGGTACCAAAATCTGCAGGTGCTAAGTCTCTTACATAAATTGGCACATTGTTTGCATACAACTCCGTGCTCTTCCTTCCAGACACCTTAAAGAATTTCTAATATGTCTAATAGTATAAATGCTGGGTAGACAGTTGTGTGCTTTATTGCTTAAAGAATAACTACAAGACAAAAATCTCTGCAGGTGTTTAGTACAGGTGCAATGCCCCCGATCCCGAACAGTTTCTAGCCAAGGTTGGCTGAACCCACACATGTGGGACCCTTGGATACAGAGAGCGGACAAACTCGTCGAATAGGAAGTGCTCATTAAATGTAGGTGCTTGACTCTCTGAGACCCTGGTCCAGCGATGGCAAGCTTTCAGCGATACGAAGAGCCTGCTCTGACACATATGCCATGGGTTCGCCGGCACTGTGGCCTAGTCTGCGTTAATGCACCAGACAGTCACTGGATAAGCAGCTTTGTTCAGCGAATGAATGAATAAATAAATGCTACATACATCATGTTTTATTTTTCCTCCTTCCTGGGAATCAAACCCAGGGCCTCATGCATGTTAGAAAGAGCTGCACCCCCAGCCTGCATTCTGCTTTTTACACACATTTTACTATTTACACATTCCTGGTAATTAAGTTTTATTATCTTTCTCCATTTTCCAGCTAAGCAAGGAGAAGCTTTGAGACAGTGACTGACCTAATATAACCTAATGCACTAGTAAGTGAAAAAGAAGGACCCAGACCCCATTTCTTGGAGGCCTAGACTCAGAATCCAAGCACTCAGCCGTGCTACTCACCACTGGTCCCCAGCAGCCTGATGGAAAGAAAGCACTGAGAACCTCAAGGGACTTTGTCCCCACCCTCTAGCCAGCTGCAGTGGCCTCAAAGGTTATCTCCCAGGTCAGGTGATCTGTCGGTCAGTCTGTCTGGGGCAGGGGAAGTGTGAAGGTGTCATTTGGCACCTGGGAAAAGGACACAGGCGGGCCGGGGATTTAGCTCAGTGGTTCTAGCGCCTGCATTGTAAGCACAAAGACCCAAGTTCGATCCCCAGTACCAAAAATAAATTTAAAAATAAATAAATAAAAAGAAAAGAAAAGGACACAGGAGGCAGACCCTGGACTAACTCATGTCTTAAAAATGAGAAGGATGACAGCATTTGTCCTGAACAGGCTCCAGAGCTCTGGGCTCTTCTGCTTTGTGCTCTTCTGCAGAGAGTTCTGCAGAGAGTTCGGAGATGGATGAGTTCAGAGATGGATGGGCTTTCCCAAACAGTCCACTCCCTCTTGCTGGTAATGGAGAATTCCCAGGCCCTCCCAGGCTCTGAGCCAATACACATCACAAGTGAGCTCTGTCTGCAGCAGCCAACCCTGGGAAATGCAGACTTTGAGAGCTTGGGCAAAAAAACCCAAAACAAAACAAAACAAAAAACTCAGTCCATGGCACATTTGCCCCTTCTTTTATGGGAAAGCACCAGGGGCCAAAAGCATAGGATAGGCTGACACCAGATAGGCCCTTCATGTACAGTGTATTTGTGACTCTGAGCAAGTTATTTTCTTCTGAGCTTCCCTTTGCTCGGCTCTGAAGTGGGGGTGAGAATAAAATTAACTCAAGGATAAGCAGAATGCGCAATGCAGCTACCTACCTCCAGTATAAACTTTTGTTATTATCTTTGTGGGGGGTTGGTGGGTTATGGGGATTGAACCCAGGGCCTTCAGGCTGAGCTACACCTGTTAGTCCCTTTTACTTTCATTTTTCAAATTTTGAACTTGTTAAATTGTCAGGGCTGAGCTCAAACTAGGGAGTCTCCCATCTCAGCCTTCAAGAGTGTTATCATTTATTTTGACTTAGCTACTGAGCACCTACTATGTGATACATAGTGAAAGGGATACTGGGTGCAAGAAGAAAGCTCCTTAATGTTTAATTTTAAGAAGGTTCTAAAAGATGAAGAGGAAGAAGAAGAGGAGGAAGAGGAGGAGGAGGAAGCCTGTAGCCCATGCAGAGAGTAGATATATTATCATTTTCATTCCTTTCTCAATCTTGGTGAATAAGGCTGATTGTTCGTGTTTATACAGGGACTGTTTGGATTCTAGGACATGTTGTAGTTCGGGATCTCTGGGTTCTGGAATTGACTCTTGTCTCCCCCTTGGTACCTCCCCGTATCACCATTCTTGGTGCCCATACACAGGGAAAAGGCTCCCACAGCACTAACCATGGTCCATCATGGGTACTTGTAGGGGGTGCCCGCTGCCTCTGGGGAGGGGGCTGATGCAAGGGGCCATGAGCACCCCGGGGCTAGGGCAGTGGAAACCATGCAGCACAATAATACCATTAAACATAAGCCTTTATAATTATATCGGGTTTGAGAGCTTGCAAAGCATTTTTACATTCATTTAATCTGTATGGGAAGAGATATCTCCAGCTAGGTTTTACATAGGAGGAACATAAATTTAGAAAGGAAGGTTTGAAACTGCAACTAGAATTCTACCTGGCCCACCTAGGTTCCCAAAGTCTTCTGAAAGCATCACAGGGTGCATGCTGAATATGTAGATTGATTACCACACCCTCTCTCAAAATTCTAATTCTGAAAGTCTGGCTAAGACTCAGGAATCAATAGTTTGAAAAACGTGCCAAAGATCCTTATCCCCTGCCAAGTCTGGACAACGTGCCATGCACTGATTAATGGGATTGGCTCAGATTTGGGTCCTGACGGTGCTGTACCGTGAGAGGGCAGGATGAACAAGACAGTCCCAGCTTTAAGAAGCTAACAGGTATGCAGCTTGACCAGGGCTCACGGTGATCTAGAATCCAGGTCTTCTGGGCAAGGCCCCTTCCTGCTGGGTCAGACACCGCCTTCCAGAGGACACAGGTTCTGAGCTTCCTTCCACTTTCTATCACCTGCTCAGGTGTGAGCTGGTGGTTCTTTCTAGCTGGAGGGATACTGTGAAAGAGCGGAGGAATGTAAAGCACTTAGCAAGGTGCCCCGCTCCTAGTAACTGTTTAGTAAATGTTAGCCAGCTGCTAATGGGCTGGTGAAGGCCAGAAAAAGAGGAGGGGGTGGGGAGCAGTGGAGAAGAAAGCCCTTCAGCATTGGAAAACAGAGGGAGCCAGACTTTGGGGCAGGAATTTACATTTCTTTAAAGGTAATTCTAGCCCTGACCTTCCCCGGGGAGGGAGCCAAGGTGAAGATCACTCTGGCACTGATAGGGACAGCAGGGCCTAGGAGAAGGCAGAGAGAAGTTCTGAGCTGAATCCAGGTGTCCCATGGCTCTGCCCCGGCAGGCAGGAATGGAAGGATGTGGTGAAGCACGGGGTGCAGGTCAGAGGAACAGCCGACTGCTACAGTATCAACACCCCTCCAAACCCTGTCCCCTAACCCCTCCCTGGTCGGCTACAACCCAGGTTCCAGCTTTTGCTGCTCACTTCCTTTTCAGGTGGAGAAGCCCGTCTGGATCCCTCCCTCCCGACTTCCCCTGGACGGCACTTCCATCTTTGGAGCTGGCACTTGTCCTCGAGGGGCTTCCCGTGGAGCTCACCTTTGCCCCCGTAAGTTCCCTGGACCCTGTAGTTTTCCCGAGGCTGGCCCTCCGGACAGACGCTGCCCGAGAAAGCCAGGGCTGCTCCCGGAGCACAGTGGCGGCAGTGGCTACACCCAAAGCGTCCCGGGCCACGGCCTGCCTGAAAGCTGAGGTTCGCCCCAAAGCCCTGCCTGCCTCTCCAAGAGCCCGGCATCTATTTGGAGGGGTCCGAGCAGGGGTCCAGGTGAGACAAAGTAGGGGAGCCACACTGCTAAGCAATGAGCAGCCTGCTGGGTCCCAGCAACAGGGTCTGCTCTGTCCAGAGGAGCTGGGTGCCAGGGCGCCCAGACCCGCAATCCAGGGGCCTAGATCCGTCCCTGCGTATGAGGCCTCTTACAGCGGGCAGACCTTCCAGTCGAGGTCTTCCCGTCAGATCTAGCGCTCCCACACAGGGGGCCCCCCTCTGCGCCACCCCCCAACCAGGGTGTGTGTGGGGGGTCATAGGTTCTCAGAGCTTCCCGGGAGGGGGAGGGCGGGGGCGGGGCGGCAGCCCAGAATATAAGGGGCGGAGACGCCGCTCTCGGTTCTACTTAGCCCACCATGCGAGCCCACCGCCTCCCGGTCCTTCTCCTGCACGCAGGCTGCGCCCTGCTCCAGGCGGGCGCCGCGACGG